TTTTAATAAAATTTTATCGAAAAATCAATCCAAAAATTAGATTTCATTTGACTATAGCCTCATTAAAATCCTTCTGGCCAATTTTGAGAAAATTAAAGTTAAACATCGAAATTATCACGAAAATCGGCAAAATCCTGCCAAGCCAACAATGGTTCGCACTTCTAGCATTCTTTCTGTTGATCCCTGCGGCTTACATTTTCACTTAACAGTAAAACATATGAGACAAAAATTAAAGACCAAAAATTAAGCTTCCGAACGATATGTTCAAAATGTTCGTGCGCTGTTCGAGTCAAGAACGACAGCAAGCTGAATAATATGCAACATTTACGCTTATTCTTCATGTCTTGTTTTTAATTTCTAATGCAGTTAGTGTTAATTAAAACATGGTAATGTAAGCGAGCCGATTGTGCACCGTTCCTTAAACTACCGAATAAGCTTTTAATCAATGCCATAAGATACGCCAATCACAACTTCTACCGATTTAAAATCAAAGCTGCACAGTTTGTTTAGAAATGGGCGTGGCTACAACAATCCTGGGTAAAGGGGGCGTGGCTTCTAACAATGGTACCAACCTTTGCAAACGAACTCGCTTCATGTTTTTGGATAAAATGAATGATGTACTATCCTCACTGTTATGTTCAACCCACCTCTAATACCCTTTTTTAGCGTTTTCATGTGCCCTTTAGAGGTGGTTAAATGACATGTGTTTGGATAACTGTAGTAACTATGAGTAATAGTTGGCATTGCTGGGGAAAGCACAAGGAGCAGTTTCTATAAGGCGCTTGCCTCGCTGTTGGGTTTTGTTATTGTGGTGACTTCAGAACGAAGAGCCACAACACTAACCATCAATAAGTTTTGAAGACTTCCCTCTCTTCTAATTTTCAACGCTCAGTCTGTTGAAGTAAAGAATTGAATGATTATTTCTTCGTGTGCAAATGACTGTTCGTTAAAACTTCAGGGGCCGACGCGTTAGCGTTAGAATTTTTTTTTATCGTGAGGACGCAGACGAAGATTAGGAGGAGGGATAGCCCAGGAAAGGGGCTCAAGACGGTGCAGTGATTTAGTGTAGTGATAGAGGGGAATGCACTAGTTCCCGGGTGGAAAGAAGTACAGATAAACTGCATTCGAAACTGTACTTGCTTAACTGTAGTTGCTAAACTATAGTTATGATAGTATTTTAACTCCAATGCTGTTTATAATCAAGACTACATGCTCAAATAACAGTAAGAAATATAAATAACACACACTTTTACTGCTCTCGCAACTACACTTGAGAATGCACACCGTAATGTAAGTGGTATATTGAGTTGTTGCTGTAGTTTAAAAGCAGATAAATTGACGATATGATTCGCTCTTTCAATTGTACTTTGTGAATGCAGTCTGTTTTACATTCCATAAGCTATAAATATAGAGTTAAAAAGAATTGTAATGACTGCTTTCATCTGTACAGTACATTTGAGCGGTCTGTTTGCAGAATTACTGCTGTCAGTTTTAAAGTAAAGTCTGTTTTTGGCTGAACATTGCAACTGGTAAACATACCGGGCAGTAGAGGCAACTCATCACCCTTGCAGGTAAAAGACATCCCGGAAAGTCCCGCTCGGCCCCACCCCCCGCAGACGTGCCGTTCTGCTGGCCGGGAGCATACTATGGGCCGAATATCGCGAGAGGAAATACCCCGAACCAGGCCTAGCTACCTACTCAGGAGGGTGAGTACATGTTTCCCAAACTGCCGGAGGTGCTCACGATGCTTTTTGACGCCTCCCCAGCTCGTCGTAAAATACTTCTACACAAAGATATTGATATTACGCGCGTAGTACGTATACATGCATATAATGGTTGGTGTGCACGTGTGGTACACTGCTTTTGTCATGTAAACCTAGCGGCAGGAGACGATTTATTCGGTTGTAAATCTTAGACAGCATAGGAACTATGCAAACGGTGGATAAAATGTAGCATTACTGTAGCTGGACTGTAGTCCGACTGTAGTTCGATTGTGAGTTGTCGGACCGGAGTGCTTGGCTTGTCATTGAGTTACTGCGAGACCAAAGCTATGGTGTCGCAGTGGCTCAGTGGTCATCGTACTGCGCTACCAACTCCGACGTCCGAGGTTCAACTCCCATCAACTCCCATCAACTTTCATCAAGGTAATAGTTCTACAATCAATTAATCGGATGAAAGGGGGTGAGTGGGGGAAGGTAGAAGGGTGGTAGTAAGAGAAATTCTCGAAATAAAAATTTTTGAACGAAGTTTTGGACACTGCACTTTAAGTATGATACTAACTGTAGGTTTTGTTTGTACTTCGCAACTCTTGTCCGGAGTGCAGTTCGAAACTAACCGCCCAAACTGCAGTTAAACTGTGCGGATTCCGAAAAAACTATAGTTTTTCTGAAGTAAAACTGCGACTTAACTACAGAAAAAGTATAGAAATCTGCATTTAAACTGTGGTCTAACTACAGGCTACAGCTGTACATTTTATACATTAAGACAATATTTTAATAAACGTTAACATATGTAGTCCTAACACAATTTGACCTGATTTTGTACACACTTTGAATGCATTTGTGAATGTGATCCGTGTACAGTGCGCCATTACAGTTAGAAGTACAGATCCTTCCACCCGGGTTAACTCAAATTTTAGTCTGCAGCCGAGAGAGGTGTGCAACTTGAGTTACTGAACAAAAACTGTCCTGCCGGCCGGTAACGAGACAGTCCAGCTCCAAAAGCAAATTCAAAATATACAGGCTTGTAAATCTTTTAATTCAATAAGGTATCAAAAAAGGACTTAAAATCTGCTTATCGAAACTGGAACGTTAATCGGCAATATCGGAAACGGCAAACTTTATCAAAACGGGATACTTTTACCTTCGGATCCAGACAGGGACTGTCCGAGGGGGTATTCACTCCCGTAATACCCTGTACACCCCACCTGGGTATTACGAGGTATTACTTGTAATGTAATACCGAAAAATAACAAAATATGCTATAAAGTGGCAAAATTTTGCGTGTAATACTGGCGTAATACCCGGTAATACCTCGAAATTCGGTGTAATACCGAGTACTCTGTACAAGTTTTATGGTAGTGAATACCCCCTCGGGACTGTCTAATAGATAAATTCACCCAACAAAAAATTTTACTGCGCTGAAAACAAGCGCTTTTTTATGCTTAAGACAGCTGTGGTTAAAACCTAGGTAGATATACGCCAGACCACGTCTCGCGTAACAGGCTTCGCGATATCTCACGAAACACTGTTACGCTGCGACGCGCCTGGCATACGTCTACCTAGGTCTGCGGCGCTGACACCCGAGTCGAGGAAAAGTCGTAAGTAGGCATTCAGCCCCAAGAGTCACAAATTTTGTCCCTCGGGGTTTTATTTTAACGAGTTACCCTACCGGAGACCATCAACTATCTGGGAAAAACATAGAAATGTTTTGCGGTCATTTTGGTGTAGAAAAATCCCTCTGGTGCCTAAACGGTTGAAGATAGAGCCAAATAGACGAAATTTTCGCCCAAAGGGCTCTACTTGGATGAGTTACCCCTTAGGAAAGAGTAAATTTTTTTTAAAAAAAAAACTCCATTTTGGGGACCTGAGGTTTTAGAATTTTTAAAAATCCAATTTTCGAGCTAGAATGCTCCTCTTCGAACTCGATCTGTCTTTTTAAGACACAAAACGACCCTGAAAATCCCAGGTCGCTAGCTCAATTCGTTCTCGAGTTATCGTGCGCACAGATAGACACACGGACACACAGACACACAGACAGACAGACGCGAAACTTTTTGATCATCGCTGGAGTAATAGGCTTCGCTATCGCTCAGCCAATAAAAAACAACGAAAATCAGCAAATTATGCTAGAACAGGGTTGTTACAGAGTTGGGATTTTCAAATTCCCTGACTTTTCCCTGACCAAACTGGAGGTTTTCCATGACTTTCAACCCAAAAAATATTTTTATGCCCACCTACGAATATGCGAAAGAATAGATGGAAAGGAAAAGAAAGGATTTTGAACAATAAATTTGACAATTGTAAAGGACCACAGGCACGCTAGAAAATTTCGCAATTTTCTAATTTTTCATTATTTTTCATGACTCGGCGATCGATTTTCCTGACTTTTCCAGGACTTCCATGACTCGATTTTTTTCCCTGACTTTTTCATGACTTCCAGGTTTTCCGTGACCTGTAACAACCCTGTAGAATCACTATTCAAATTCTGCTGAATTCGTAATTTCTGCGCGCGCGAAAACAAGCACATTTCTAATTTCAGAGCGCTGTAGTTCAAGATTTGAGACTGAGGAGGATCACATGTCAAGTAGACAGGAAAGCCATATGGTGCCCGGTGCCGATTGAGCTCTTAAAGAGGGGTTGGGGCGCGGGGCGCGAGGACAGCGCTGCGACTCAAGAGGCTCCATGCGTCTTTTTTGCATTTTAACTTTACCGGAATGCTTTATTGCAAAGTAAATAATGTTTCGTATAGTTATAAAAGATCTCAATGATTTGAATTTCACGAGGGGTGCCCAACTGTGGTAATCAGGTGTACACAGACTTGGTAATCACTGGTAATCCTCTCACTCGTGAGGGTCCTTTTAGAGGACAAATTTGTTGATTTAGACATGAATTTTTGTGCACATTTTGCCTAAATGCCAACGCGCTGTTTAATATAGCAACTTTGCATCCCTCCCACGGACAAAATCATGATTTGGCCAATCATAGAATGCAAATTTTTAACTTGTAAGATAAAGAATCAAGAACTAACCAAAGAGTTGCACAAAAATGCATCTTTCTCGAACAAAAAATTGCCGTTTCGATTTAGAATGCAGGTAGATCATACCTTGTATACATCGGTAATCTTTGGTAATCTTTGGTAATCATTGGTAATCTTTACAATTTGGTAATCTGGTGTAAACATTTTTATGGAGTTAGGCACCCCTCGGAATTTCACAAAGCGAAGGATTTTAACATAGCATCTTCGTCGTTATGCCGACGTTTCTTTCATCAGCTACTCACCTTGCTCGGCGCGCTGGGTGCAATCACCAGAGGCGCCTCGCTCACGATAACTGACCCGGCGAGAATGCGGCGCGTTGCAACTCCGCACCTCCCCTGCACCCCATCTCGCACCACATTGAAGCAGGGCGTCCCAGGCACAGGCTCCATCGAGCTACAGAAAAGAAATGTAAAAATTTAATAAACCAAGAAACCACTGTGAAAGAAAATAAAAGTTCTCAACGGCCAAGGTAAGGCTTGGGTGAAAGTGGAAAAGTCGCGCGACAGACAAATGCACGTGCCAAATAAATGGACCATTTCAGGGTTAGGTGATTAAAAGAAGAAAAGAATGGCGAACCGGAAGAGCGCTGCCTTCTAAACGCCCCCTACCCTCCGTCCCTCTTCACCCATCGCCCAACTGTTTCCTGTTTCGGTTATTCTTTTCTTTTCTTCTTGTCACCGAAGCTACAATGGTCTCTTAAGAGGAGGCTAAAGTCCCGGCCGTCCAGCGCGCTGGCGGGCTCCGCGCGGCGCGCGCAACGCCTTGCACGGGAAGACTTCTCACATTGTTTCTCAAAAACCCGTGCACCAAAAAAATCTAAATTCGGCTGGTGGGTCCTTGAAGGACTAATCTCGATGTCGAACGCATTCGTTTGCCTCCGACATTGCCTGTATTGCCTACAATAAACCCCTTGACTCGGCCAC